TCCATCATGGGTCCCTTCCATGGGTGCAGTCCTTCAGGAACAGATTGCTCCAGTGTGGGTCCCTTCCATGGGGTGCAGTTGCTCAGGAACAGACTGCTCCAGCATGGGTCCCCCGCAAGGTCACAAGTCCTGCAGCAAACCTGCTCCAGTGTGGGCTCCTTTCTCCATGGAGCCACAGGTCCTGCCAGGAACCTGCTTTAGTGCAGGCTTCCCATGGGGTCACAGCCTCCTTTGGGCACCTCCCTGCTCCAGTGTGGGGTGATCCCCAGGCTGCAGGTGGAGATCTGCTCCACCATGGACCTCCATGGGCTGCAGGGGTCAACTTGTTTCCCTATGGTCTCTTCCACAGGCTGCAAAGAATTTCTGCTCTGGCACTGGAGCACCTCCTCATCCTCTTTCTTAACCAATCTCCTGTTCATCTTTTTTTCCTCCTTTTTCTTTTTTACTTTTTTTCCCTTACTCCTCTCATACAGCTGCCACCGCTTTTTTTACCCTTTCTTAAGTATGTTATTGAAAAGGCATCACCAGCATCACTGACGGGCTCAGCAGTGGGTCCCTCTTGGAATGCCTGGCACCAACTCTGTTAGACACGGGGGCAGCTCCTGATGTCTTCTCACAGAAGCCACCCCTGCAGTCCTACAACTACCAAAACTTTGCCGTGTAAACCCTATACACAACCACCTCCTGTCTCGTTACAAGCCATTTGAGAAACTGTGTATCAGATTTCTGTGTATCATTTTCTAATGCTGCAGACAAAATATAACCTGGTTATATAACGTATAGCAGCAGAGGGAGGGCTGCAGGGATCATAAGTAATTCCACAGAAATAGAGATGTAGTGATAAAACAATTCCTGGGACCAAAGCTTATGAACTGCTCTCTTTCCTGTACTCTTTTGCACTATTATGAAATGTAGCACTATAAGCTCAGGTCAGTATTAAACAAGGCATTGTATTTTTTAACAGATAAAAGCCCTCTCCCCTCAGAGTAAAATAATGTCAACTAAATGTGATCACTGGCAGTCTGAGACTCCAGACAGCCCAAACAAAAGATAGAAACCTTTGGAGAATGAAGAAATGGAAATGAGTTTTGGCTGCAGTTATCTAATTCGAAAGGAGCAGAGCACAACTCGGACAGACAATGCAGAAAGTCAAGCACACAAGTTTATTAGCTATCATTATAAAAAGAGCCATTACAGGGGTTTTGTTCCTGATTACAGATGTTACAGACAACAAGAGTAATAGATTCATCTTCAAAATATATGGATTTTCTTTTTCACATTTTGACTTTTAAACTAATGCTATGATAAAGATTTTCATTTTAACTACAGTTCTAGTGATAATTACTTATATCTAAAACAAGTAAAAAAAAGGTCACTTAGGTGTACAGAAGGATGTAAACCAGCAATTTCAATATATCAATTTCTTATTAAATAGGCACTCAAGCACTTCCACTCAATCTAGTCTGTGATATTCAAAAGGAGGAAAATAAAAAGAGAATGACATTTACTCAATATAGTCTGAAGGATATTTATGCTTAGTCATTAGCTGGTTGAAGAATATCCCACGATATGATAATGCAGATCTTCCTGACTGTATTACAAATGCTTCTTCTGACACAGTTCATTTACTAAAAGTCTTCCCTAATCAGCTGACAAGTCTTACTGATGTATTCCTGTATTATCAACACCAAAAAATCCCTTTCATTCATAATTACTGTGGCCGTCCCACTGCCATTCAGTTAATGACAGTAATGTTTTCTACGCTATCTTCTGAAAGCCATAAATACAGAAATAAAAAAATTACAATACCTTGTTTTCCTTTCACAATTTATATATATCTTGTTTTGCTGTATCCCACTTCTGCTCCTGTTCAAGAAGAAAGCTGACTATACAGTGAAGGTCTCTGATGGAATCAGATCTAGGAGTGCTGCAGACTGTAAACTGTGCCACTCTCAAACCTTTTGGAACAGACCTGTAAGAACTGGTGAACAGGTTTTCAAGGTAATGGTCACACTTCCAGTTTTGTAAATAACTAAATTATTCCACTTCTTGGCACTAAGCCACTTTCAACCCACCAACCACAGCTGAAGCCAAGGTGGATTTATCGTAACAGAAAAGTCTTACACATGACTGTAGCCCTAAAGGTGATTCTTAATTTCTCTGCCCTGGTCCTGTTCCGAAGAACACCTGGCTGCAGGGACACTGTGACTTTCCACTTCTCAAGACCAACAGACCAGGTCCTGCTGCTCTCTTTTCCAACCACGACTGAATTCATGGTAAGTTCGGAAGTTACAAAATTGGCTCTCACAGAAGAAATGATTATTAGAAGACACTGAATTATTTTACAAAGTCAGCAAAAACTAAATAAAAACCAAAATTTGCATTACCCCAAAACTAAAACCTTTCAAAGATGATGTGTTCCACTCTCTTAAGGCTGCATTTGGCAGATAGGTGGAATGAAGTTCCATATGGGAATGTGATCCAATGAAGTGGATCACATGGGTGTCAGCAATTTAGGGAATACAACAGGGCTAAAAGTGATCAGGAGTTTACTTGCTTCACACTCTATGCCCAAAGCAAAATGTGATGTATTTAAGCCATTTGTAACATATATATTGGCCTAACCATAACCTGTTCTTGAAAACCTCAAAAGATGGAGGTTGTACAATCTGAAATACTACCCTGCTATTCTAAACATCAGAGATTTGTTCCTGAAAATAATATTCTTTTCCACAACTCAAGCTCACTATGTATTACCTTACCAGCAAACACAGAGAGTGATTCTTTACCCTGTTTCTCACTAAGACATTTCACATATTTGAGCACTGCTCTCATGTCTCTTCAGTGCACGTCTTCAGGTCAAAATCCCCTTAGAATACACTTTTTCATAACGGTCATGTTTTCTAGACTTCTGGTCATCTGTCTTCATGTTTGAAAGTGTGAATGTCTAAAACTGGAAACAATATTGTATGCAGAGCTTAGTAAAATGGGATTTATCTTACATATGGCAACCCTGGTTCTATATTCGATACTTGCTTTGTTTCTTCTTCAGCACTCTACATCAGTAGCTAATATTGTTTGCTATTGTTCTCTCAATTTTTTCCCCTAGTGTTTCTACACAGATCATCATTCCCTGTTTTGTGCTCTGTAAATTCAGAAAACTCATACTTCTCAAAAAATTTATTAATGCATTCTGTGATTGCTTCATCCAGGTTCCCATATATCTTAGTGGGAAAATCACTATGTTCATATGATTTAAGGTTTAATAAATAAAAATAATAGAACACCTAGTCGATCAATCATCAGTGGGGTCAAAGGGTCTTTGATATTAAAGCTAGAACAGGTAATCTGAATGCAGCATGCTTTATCACCATCACCATGCTCACTGTCATCTACAACTACAGGAAATACTGCAATGTTGTTATACCTTTGCTGTCCTCCGGCTAAGAGCTGATAAGAATGAACCAAGTTAGAGGAGAAGAGATTGAGATGATTTTCCCATCTCTTACAGCTTCAGGTAAGTTTGGAAAATCACCTAGAATGCGAGATGCTCCTGCTCAGTTTCTTGATGTGTCTCCTCTTCTAGAATCATAGAATCGTAGAATAGTTAGGGTTGGAAAGGACCTTAAGATCATCCAGTTCCAACCCCCTTGCCATGGGCAGGGACACCTCACACTAAACCACCTCACCCAAGGCTCTGTCCAACCTGGCCTTGAACACCGCCAGGGATGGAGCATTCACAGCTTCCCTGGACAACCCATTCCAGTGCCTCAATACCCTTACAGTAAAGAACTTCTTCCTTATATCCAATCTAAACTTCCTCTTTCCTTTTGTCTCTTAATTCTTCTGGACTTCAGTTTAGTTCCTCTGCTCTCCCTCCCCACAAAACCCCCCAGAAGAAAGGAAAAAAAAAAAAAAAAAAAGAAAAAAATAATTCAGACCTGGTCTGTCAGAACCCATACTCTGCAACAGCAACACTGCCTTTGACAGGAAATACAGTTAAAACCAAGTTTTTGCACAGTCCTGAGCTGGTACAGGTTTGCCAAGTCTCTGAACAGGTACCTACGTCATACTTGTCTTTCTCTAACAGCTCTATAAGCATCCGTAAAAGGAACAGATGATGCATTTCATTTCTCACTGTTCTCTTCCTTATTTCTGTGCATTCATTTCGTTTTTCTCCTTACAGGCAGGATCTGACTCACACAGTAGCAAAAACAGTAACCATTTCAACCTGTCCAAATTAACTTCCTCATTTCGCTGAAAGAAATGTTCAGAGATAGTTACCAAAAAACTGCCCGTAGCTTAAAACTATGGGAGAACAGAATTGTTAATGTGAAAGTCTGTGTTAATAACAAGTTACAAGAAATTTTAGTAGAACAGAATATTTCAAGTTGGAAGGAACCTACAGTGATCATCTAGTCCAACTGCCTGACCAACTCAGAGTTGACCAAAAGTTAAAGCACCTTGTTAAGGGCATTGTCCAAATGCCCCAAATATTGACAGGCTTAGGGCATCAACTACCTCTCTAGGAAGCCTCTTGCAGTGTCTGACCATCCTCTCAGCAGAGAAATGCTTCCTAACAACCAGTCTGAACCTCCTCTGGTGCAGCTTTGAATCATTCCCATGTGTCCTGCCTCTGGATCCCATGGAGAAGAGCTCAGCACCTTCCTCTCCACCTCCCCTCCTCAGGAGGTCATCAAGAGCAATGAGGTCACACCTCAGCCTCCTTCTCTCCAAACTAGACCAACCCAGAGTCCTCAGCCGCTCCCCATAGGACATTACTTCCAGCCCTCTCACCAGATGCGTTGTGCCTCTGGAGGCAGCCTTCACATCCTTCTTTAATTGTGGGGCCCAGAACTGCATCCCAGATTCCTTTCTGCATGGCTGCTCCCCAGCCACTCCTCTCAGTTTGTACTTGTGCCTGGCATTATTCCATTCTAGGTGCAGCATCCAGCATCTGTTATTGATAAATTTGTGATTGAAGATTAGACGCCACAAGTTAAATCTGAATAGTAATATGATCCCTTTAAGTATATAAAAAGCCCTTTCAGACCATATACACTGTTGGAACAAACAGCCCATAAGACTAGTCAAACAGTTTATTGATAAAAGCAAGAAAATTATTTTGGCTTTTCCAAGAAAATTATGCATGGTCTAACTCCTCCCAAAGAAAGATAAACGTGGGAATTGCAGATATTAATATAAACACTTGAACCTGTCAACCTTGATTCACCAAAGATGCTATATGTACTGCTGGTTTACAGCACTGCTGCAAAGAGATTACAGAAGGTCTAATCAATGCAAAGGTGTTAAAGGAAGTTTTAAGAGACAGTCCATCATTTGTTGAAATTCATTCCAGAAATGGCACATTTCCTTTCAAAATTTTTCATATCAAAAAAGAGCAGTGAAGGAGCTTTGCATGTGGTTATTTTCCTAGCCAAAATCTGACAAGGAAATTGATCCTCTTCCAAGAAGAGTTGGAGAGTTGTCCTTTGGCAGCTCTTGTTTGATACCTCAACAAATCCCTGCAGGGGAACAAGAAAAAAAAAAAAAAGAAAAAAGAAAGAAGAAAAAAAAAATCTTTCTGCCAGAGGTACAAGATTTATGGTCTGAATGAAAAGATGGAGGGAATCAAACAACCAATCCACCCAATTTTAACTGTCCAGAAGGTTTTGCTAGTATCTTTTGGATGGCATAGCTGTAGGGAAAAATGAACGGTCCATCATGCCATCATGGGATCCACAGGCTACTACTACAGGCATGCATAGTTCTCTCTGCAGTACATGCCATTATCTTGGTGTCCAGTAGAAACAACCAAGGGATCTCCAGAAGCAAAGATTTTCCTTTGAGGTGCACATGACCACATCTGAAATTCAAAGCTGCCATACCAATATGCTGCCTGTAGGACAGGTACAGAGAAATATAACATGCATTGGTACTGAATTGTGTAAACTGATAGAAGTGCAGGGATCTGCTGGAGACTCAGAAACTGTATTTTGTAAGGGAAGAATAAAATCTCCCAGAAAGTAGTAGGTGAATCAGGCTTACTGAGATGCCTTATTACTTGCTAAATCAAACACATGGGTAAGCAGAATACTTAACAGCCTGTAGCTCATAGTCCTGAGTTATAACAACATCTGGGAGTATTGCATTCGCCCTGTGTCATAAAAACACACACCTTTTTAGTTTCACTATTGTCATTCTATTGGAGTTTGGGGCTTTAGAGCTCACCAAAGAGCTTACATGTAAAAATGAAATAGCAAAGCTAGATTACTATGTGCTTATCTTCAGTTTAGCTCTCAAAATTAACATTGTGACAGAAGGGTACATTATCAACATCAAATACAAATTTCCGGGAGAAGAAACCATTAAGATTTAGATTCTGCTTTATTTATTTAATGTTTCACTTTGGGAAGAGGCAATTTTCTCTTGCCTCAAATCCATGCAAAAGCCATCAATCCTCTTAAATATCTGGAATGGCTACACTGTGAGGCACCTATTAAAATCCATCAAGTTATACCTTTTTTGCATGAGTCATTAGTTATAAGCTTGCATTTCCTCAGGTGCTGGTAACTTGTGAATCCCAGTCACAGCACACTGACATGGGAGCCAGTCCACAGGCTTCCAGGTATGCCAAATACAGATGAGGGTTCTGCAGGGTTTTGGAGAGGGCTGCCCAGATGGTACCTAACCCAAAGGAAGACCAGCTCGCTGACTGCTAAACTAGCTTCAGACACATGATCTGCAACTTCTTTTTCCTAGGACATTTTTTGGGGAAAAGGTACCACAAAAGGTTACCCTCCTATCTATTGGCTCTGGCACATCCTTGGGACACTAAATTTCAGCTACTAGAAAAACTGAAGAATAATTCTTGTCAAGCAAAACATAGGTACATCAGGTTTTGCAACCAGAACAAGCCTTTATTTTGGGTAATATGGAAAACTGATAACAGCTGGTTAAGAATACAGATAAAGCTAATGTATTTCCAGTACAACTTCCTGGAGTGGGTCACATTCATCTGGTGAGTCAGCTTCAAAGTCTGCAGTCAAGAGTATCTCCCAAAACAATATACAAAAAACCACAGTGGGAGCTGGGCCCTGGAAATCCCATTGGAATAGATTCAATAGTTTACAGCAAGCAAGAACACCTAACTAAAAAGCTGAGACAACTGCTCAATGAGCATAAGTGAAACTGGTCATGCATCTCTTTCTTGGACTTAGTGCACATTATTCTAAATCAGAATCTACAAGTATTTAAGAATCTCTGGAAAACATCACTTTTTCTAGGTTCTAGACACAGGGATGTTCTGTTTTGACAACAGCATGCAGCCACTATCCTGTAAGAGCCTGAAACTTCAATAAAGTCAGTCTTAACACATATTTTGTGAGAAAGACGTAAGAAATCAACAGGCCATCCTGCTCACCTTCAACACCCTGAGGAATTCAATGTGTAGTAGAATCCAAAAGATTCAGAATTTCCAGAAGATGGAAGCAGGCAAAACATTACCATAGCTTTGCTGAAACAAAAACCTACCATATCAACATCAAAGATCAGGAAATTATTGCTGCAGGATAATGACACTGACCCTTGGATTTTTCCACTCCCAATTTTCATTCTCCTTCTGTTAAAAGAGACAGTGTTATCACGCTGTTCTTTTTATAAGAAAAAAAATACATTTAGAAACAGCATTTGAAAACTAAAGAATGCAATAGCAGCAAAAGAACTTGCAAAATCTTTACAATCAGAATGCTACAGTTTGTGTCACAAAGTTTCTAAGACACCAGGAAAAACAGCAGTCAAACCAAAAGGTGAATGTAAAATAAATAAAAAGCATCAGACAACTAGAACAGAAACAAATGCACCCTTAGAAATACTTTGAAATTCCAAATTACTTAAGAACTGGTAAAATTACTGCTACAATCACTTATAAACATGGAAAGAATATTCCTACAAGAAGCTAAATACAGCATTCTTGGGTTTATTTTGCCTGAGAGAAGATATCACAGTCTGATCAATGAGAAGTCTTGATCATCTGAAATTTCTGAGCAGCTTGAAGCAATCACACACGCATCAGTTGCTAAAATACATTTTTTGAAGACACGGAAAAAATAAAAAAATTAAATCACCAAACTGTGTAGAGAAAAACAGACATTTTTCCTCCTAACTAGCAGTTAACAGTTTCTTCTTAACTGTTAGCAAAATGAATTGTGTTAGCTGGCTACTTCTTACAGAACAATAAAGCATAACACTTCTCCTTTCTTTAAGATTACTTTTTATTTCACCACCTAAGAATAACTAACAAAACTGAGGATCAATTTATTATTAAGATCTTTCATGTAGGTCTCCTGGGAGGCACAGTCTGAAACTCAGAAGCAAAGTCAGGAAAGATGTTATTGCCCTTGGGTAGCCAACATTCATCACAGCAGGCAGCCTTATTGTCCAGCGTTCTGTAACAGTTTCTCAGTAGGGAAGGCAACATGTAGCAGCACAATGATTTCCAAGATAATGCCTAAAACCACAGCCTCTGGTTCAGAGGGAGCTGGTTAGAAATAAGTGCATACAGTGTCAGTGGAAGAAAGGCAGAATGACTTGGTTCTCTTTTTAGTCCTGAAGACTGGTAAACATTCTGCATCATGTTTAGAAACTTCAAAGGAAGGTTTTTTTCCATTGTTTTTTATCTGGTCATTACTTGCTTACCTCTCTTCTACAGTTCTCTCCTGAGCTCTACCAGTTATGATATCTTATCTCATCACAACAGGAACTGAATATACCCAGGAAACACCTAGATCTTTAACATACTACAAACTGTTTCCCAGCTCTCTATACAATAGGCAGAACAATCATCACTGTCAATTTCTGGTTTACTTAAAGCATCTGAAAAAGTTGAACTGTCAATCACAGTCATTAGAGTTAGTTGAGAAAAAGAAGATATTGCAAAGGTTTACAGTCAACAATTTCATACAGAAAAATAAGTCATTCAGCTCTAAAGCTTTTCTATGAATAGTGGGCAGCAGTGGAGTATGTTAAATTGAAATGGAACTGACTGAAATTTTCCATCAGAGGCACTATGGCACTGTGCATGTTTGCATGTACGCACACACGTGTGTGTGTAAAAAAGGCAGTGGTTTGTAAAATGGCTGTTTTCCTATTTCTCATTAAATCTTCTTCAGATTACCTTGAAACAGATTTTGAAACTCAATTTACAGATCTGTTCCTCATTTTTTAAGTGGCTCCACTCACTTCTATGGGCTCAGTTATTTTGCGTGAATTAAAATATCAGCAGTTGGCATCCTACCATACTGAGTAAGGACAGAGTCAGTGAAGGACTAAAACACCTGAAGGCAAGATCCAAAATACCTTCTTTGATGGCTTTAAATCCAGAGGTCCCACTCAGTTCTTCTAGTGAAGCAAGGCTACACTGCTGTCAGGAAGATGAGAGGTATGAAGCCAAGACAGCAAGTAGGTGGGTGACAGATGCTTCAGTTTCCTATAGAGCTGCTCAATTATGCTTTATGGAGTATCTGTCCACTAACTGCAAGAAGTAATATGCCAGGACATGATGTGCTGCATGCCACATTCACAGTGGTGAAATGCTCCACAACATCACAGCCTAGTCTTTTTCTTTGGGAAAATGCAGGAGTCCATGAAGTGTAAAGAAACACAGCAGCTCCTGGAAGACTTTGGGAGACTTCACAAATCAATGAATATGAAATCAATTAAATTCTATTCAGGTGAAGATGTTGCCCAGTCATCTGCTGTTTGGGTCAGCTTCAGGTATGCTTTTAGTTAAAAATCAAGAAAAGTAAGAGTAAATGGCATACTTCTCTATTAGTGGTCAAATTGGCTGCAGCCAGCACTTGCAAATAATGCGCCCTGAATAGCTACTTCATTTCTGGATTTGACATTTTTAAATCATGAGGTGAAAAGGTCACGTAAAAGGAATATGAGTTGCTGCAGAGCAGTAGTTACATCCACAGTTGCCACTGTACTCTCAGTCTGCAGCTACAAGACACAGATCAAGTGCTGATACCCTGAATGGGCATGAAATATGAAAAGCCCTCCAGGCACCCAACTTCCCATACAAAATGCAACAGGAGTACCATCACCGCACTGAAGGACTGAGGCACTGCTGACACAGACAGGACTGACAGGCATGAAACTAAGCTGAGGAAAATGCAGAAAGATGTAGTCCATGAATTCTGGCCCTATTTCCTTGAGAAAACGGAAACTGTATTAACCAACCTGATACTTTATTGGTTGGCTTAATCTCAGAAAGAAGAAAGTGTCCAAGCAAACTTCTGAGGATGAAAAGTCTCAGATATTTCCACTAAGCAACTTCTGTTGGTGTTTTTCATGTGAGAAATGGAAGATACAAGCCACTGAATTTAAAAATATTATTGCTGTGGCATGTAAAATATTAATCACTCTAATTCTTTTCAAGTACCTTATTAGAAAACAAATCTACTTGATATTGCTTCAGTCTTGCAAATGTTTTGCTTTCAAGCAATTATACTATAGTCATATTGCCTCTCAAGACAGTTTCTAATGAGAAACCCCATTAACATTCAGCACTTTAAACAGGTAGAATTTGAGTTTGGTGTTCACATTTTCTTAGCCAGCTAAATGATTAACACAATTTATTTGGCATAATAAAAACAAAAACAGAAAGCAATAGAGACAACAGGTCCAGCAGGTGAACACTTAAATACAGTTTGGTATTAATCATTTAATTTCACACAGTGGCTCCTAAGCAGCACAACTGTATGTGTACTCTGTGCCCATAAAAATAATGGGAGCACAAAACTGGATGCTCTAATTCTTAAAGGATGTTGATCACTGGGGATTAAAAGTATTGTGTAAGAACATGAAAACAGCACCAGTCTTCAGCTATGGGATAATGCCGCTATTTGAAAAATATATGTCAGAAAGATCTGGCTTCCATTTTTCTTCATGCAATTTAAGAAATGGGGAAAATGCATTATGCTCTTCTAAAGCTATAGTGATGAAGCACACCCACAATGAACAAGGTCAACAACTGTATCTGTTTACAAACAGTCAGATTATGAATCTGCTAACTTGCGATCCTGAAAGCTCCTTACAAAGTCAGATTAACATGGAGTTTCTGTTTATCATCCTGACATAGCTGAAGAACCTCAGATCCAAAGAATACAAACAGCTTCTGTTTTCAGCACTGTAAATTTCAATAAATAGCTCTCTGTCTATTTCCTGAATTTACAGTGAAATGTGTGCAACATTGCCAAGCAAACTATATGGAAATCATAACTTGTCTATTTGGGTATATCATAGAATGGTTACAGCTGGAAAGGACCTTAAGATCATCTAATTCCAATCCCCCTGCCATCGGCAGGGACACCTCACACTAGACCATGTTGGCAAAATGGGTATCAAAAAATTGAAAAGCTAGTTATTGTATTTTAGCAATAAGTTATACCTGCAGGACATATACTATGCAACCCAGAATTTAAACCCCTTTGTTCAGCAGTGAATGAACTGAATCCCCATGTTTAAATACTGAAATTTAATAGGGCACACACCTCACAGGAGTTTATGGTGATTTCATTTTAAGTGGCTCAGGACTAAGTACATGTAGCAAATTGCAGTGACACAAGCAGATAGCTTGGGCTGCCCCATCTGTCATCCTACCACAAGGTCTTGCAATGGGCCTGCCCTTTTGGGAAGCTGTAAACTACTCTTTGGAAGCATATTTGCTTCTATCAGAAACCCTGTTTTGCAGCAAATGCTGTTTTTCACAGCTCTGAATATGGTCCACAGAGCTGACATCCTTCCTTTCTCTAAGATTTAAATTAAGAGGGCAGAAGATCATAGAAATTAAACACTCACTGTCTATACATAAACAGAATTTGAGGAAAGTGTGAGTTCACATATTTAATAAACTAAATATTAATTACTTTTTCTAACCCTTTGGTCTACCCCTTGGTTAGAGAATGCAAATGAGCATTGTTCAAGTCATGCTAGTTTAGAAACACACACACATTCTCTACCTTGGCCCAAAGGGGTGGAGGGGGAAGAAAGAACATATTCAGTACATATGAACCTTGGCTTTGGGTATGTTTAGAAAGACGAGCTACAGGAGAGCAAAATGGCCCAGATGGCAAGCAATGGTACCAGCATGCAATCTTCTGCCATGGTGGCTGAAGCATGCTCTAGGTGGCCATCTTTTCCCCATGGCACCCCTGCCAGAAATTACAATCACCTAAAAACAGAGATTGCACAGCAGGAACACACTGGTTCATCTCCCATGAGACTGGGAGAAAAGAGGGCAAGTCATTCAGAGTATCATACTTTGTCTCCGACTGGGCTTAATCTTATCACTACCATGAATTTTATTCACTTCTATGTGCCTGACCTCACTGTATTTTGCAGTAGCCAAATACAGGGAGAGACTAATGATGAGAAAAGATCTTTCTGCAAAAAATGAGTCTTCTCTTTTTTTTTAAACAATTTGCAAACAAAATCTAAAATTAAAAACTGCAACTCATTAAACTGTCTCTAAGATGCTGCTGAGGAACTTCTCATTTTGCTTTATCTCAACCATGCATTTTTCCCTAGTTTTCTTCCCCATATGAAATTACACTGCTGGGCTTTTTTTGTTAATTAGAAACAAGGTCTCAAGACTACATCTCACAACAGCAGAAGAAACTACTCCCTCCAAGAATACTTCAAGCTGATCCTCTGTTATATGACAGGAATTGTAAATATCGGGAAAAATTGCTTACAAAAGGCTGACTCTAAATTATCTAGTTTCAAACTCTGCATAGGGAAGAGTGACACAATACCTCACGGGACTGTTGAGCTGCAAGTAAAAGGAAATAATATCAAAACCTTCCCATTCATATTAAACTATAATTTGTGAGTAACATGTGCAATAATATCTAAAGAATTTGTAAGAACTCTAGGTCAGAGCAATTTTTTACTAGACCTTATGAAAGAAAAATAAAAATATTAAGAGAATAGATGAATCCACTGAAGATAAACATGTCTGACACTGAGTGAAGTCACAGACATGCTCAAGAGAGTACATTTCAAATAGAACATGAAACAGTGTATCTGGACATATCTAAATATAATAAAAAACATTTCCAA